TATTGCTTACCCCGTGAGAAAGACTTACCCAAAAGAACCAAGTCTTTTGTATTTTGCTCTATTTTGTCAGCTTTTTCAAATATATATTGTTGCTGTTTTTCATTGAGAAAGAAATATTAAGAAAATTAATAAGTGGGCTAGTCAGAAAGTTAGCTTAAATTATGAACAAACTAGTTCTATTATTCTGTAGAAGATTAGACAAGAGTCTAGAAAGAGAGGGCCTGTGAAAGAGTAATATGTTGAAAGATTTGTTACCTGGCATCCTCAAGTCTCTAGAAAGTGATTTTCAGACTATGTGATGTGGGGATCCCCTCCTGCTGATATTGCCACAGATGCCAAGCTTCATTCATCACTTCAGAGCTTCCTGGGCATTAAAGAATGAAATTGGAAACTACCCATTGTAAGAATATCGTCTGAAAACAAGAAATAACCAACATGAAAATAAAGCACACAGATCCATGGTAACACAATGACCCATCTTGTTATAAGACTGTCACCAAACTATCACTCAGTCTATTTCCTGAAAAACAACTTGAGGAATGTTGTATGATTTTCAGCCCTCAGTAGATGAAAAGTAGAAAATGTAAAAGATGTAGGCATGCTGATAATAATAATAATAAAGGATAACTAGCAGCCTTCTGGCTAAAGAGAGACTACTTTTTTTTTAAGACTAAAATCAAACTAAATAAAAAACAAAAAATATCTTGGTGTTACTCAGTGAAGGGCCAGGTAGTCTTATGTACCTTGATGTCCTTGGAGGCATCATTTATATTGTAGCATGGGCAGCAAATGATGCCTTCGTTCACGCGTATTCTCCAACATGTACTTGGTGCCAGATATTTAGGGAACATTATTACATAATGATTCTAATGCTGAATCATCAAAAAATTACTAGATTGTCTTCCAGAAAGATAAAGAGAATTAGGATACTTTGGCAATAATTACTTAGGAGAAATTATAAAGGTGGTATTTTAAATTTTTTAATTGGTTTTTTATTTATTTACTTATTTATTTTTGGTCTTTTTGAGACAGGGTCTCCCTGTAGCCCCAGCTATCCTGGAACTCACTATGTAGACCAGGCTGGCCTTGAACTCACAGAGATCCCCCTGCCTCTGCCTCCCGAGTGCTGGGATTAAAGGCGTGTGCCACCATGCCCGGCGATTGGTTTATTTTTAATTTATGTGCATGAGTGCTTGTAAGTGCATGTATGTAAGTGTACCATGTGCATGCAGTATCCACAAAGGCCAGAAAAGGGCATCAGATTCCCCTGGAATTGGAGTTATGGATGGTTGTTAGCTGCCATGTGGCTGCTGGGAACCAAGCCCTGGTCCCACTTCAGTCTCCCAAATAACAAAGACTATAAAGTACATCTGTATGTTCAGTTCACTGCCTGTTGTTAAATAGATTTATTTGCTTATGATTTCCTTCGCCACTAGGATGAATATAAGATAGCACTAAGAGCCTTCTCTGCATATCCCACCTTGAGTGCTGGGGTTTCAGGCATGCACCACCACACCCATCTTTATTCCCAGTTTTTGAGACAGGCTTTTTTCATATAGCCCTCACTCACTTGGTGTTCACTATGTAGCCCAGACTGGCTCTGAACTTGAAGTAGTCCTCCTGCCTCAGCTTCCCAAGTGCTAAGATTGCAGGTGTGGTCACTCTGCTATTCTGAGGTCTAAACTTTTTTTTAAATTATTTTTATTTTTTTTATTTTTGAGACTTTCATGGATGAGTATTGTCCTTGCATTTTTTCCATCCTAACCAGTCTCCCACCAACTCCTCCCATGTCCCTCCACTCCCTCTCAGTTTCTTGTCCTTTGGTTATTATTATTACGTATACATACATACATTTATAAATATACATATATATAATACACTGAGTTCACTTAGTAATGCGCCTGTGTACCTGTGCTTAGGGCTGTCCACTTTGAATTAGATAACCTCTCAGGGAGCTAATCCCTGGAGAAAACTGGTTCTCCCTCACTCACCATCCATTGATTGAGGTCCCACCTCAAGAGAACTATACTTTTTAAAGATGAATAATTGTGAAAAATATAATGATGGATGAATAAGTAGAGTCCTAAAATTGTAGTAGACTACTCACTTTCTGATATTGCTTTCTTTTGCTAGACATTTGTTCTTAAACTATAAATGTGAGCATGTAAACCTGTCAGGCCATTCACACTTCCACTGATTAACAATGGAAACTAGCAAAGTAGGTTGGGAACTTAAGCCATTATGGTCGGTACTACTCTTTCCAAATTGCCCTCTGCTATACTCAGGCCAAAGGAAATCCTCTGGAGTGTAACTCAGTGCCATGCTACCCTGCATTGACATCACTCTGATCCTGTTCACTGTAGCCAGCTCAGCTCCCCTCCCTCCCTGTCCTTATACCCTGGGGCAGAGAAGGCAAAGGGGAGCAAAGTAGAGGCTGTACTTTAAAAGATAAGAAAAAGTAGGTCCAGGAGACTGTGTGTGCTTCCTGGGTTTGGGTATTGCTTCCCATCTTTTATTTGTCTCCTCTCTTATGATATGGTTGATGAGCATCCCAAACTAAGCCACTGTGACACCTAGCCACATCTCCCAACCAGTTACTTCTTTCCTATCTCATCTCACCCACCTACATATACCTCACCTCTGAACCCCAGAAGAATCCCCATCACTCAGAGGAAGACAAACTACATTGCCTTCCTTAAACTTGCTCTTCTGCCCCCCCGCCACCTGCCATCCTTGCCAAGTTTCTGGGTGCTAAAAGCACTTAAGGAATGACTTTTTTCTTACTCCCTGACTTGATTTTTTTCTTACTATCTGTCCAAATCAGAAAAATACATACCCTGTAGCAGCTTCTTGCTTTTCATCTGGAAGATTAAGAGAGACCCTTAGCCAAAAAGCTCTGGAGCCAACTCCCACCCACACACTCAGCTTTTGGAAGTGAGAAAAAGCCTAGAAAGGCTAAGACATAAATAACGCCTTTCCCCACTTACTCCTAAGAAGAGTTTAGCAGTCATTCTTTTTTAAAAAGCATGTAAACCTGTCAGGCCATTCACACTTCCACTGATTAACAATGGAAACTAGCAAAGTAGGTTGGGAACTTAAGCCATTATGGTCGGTACTACTCTTTCCAAATTGCCCTCTGCTATACTCAGGCCAAAGGAAATCCTCTGGAGTGTAACTCAGTGCCATGCTACCCTGCATTGACATCACTCTGATCCTGTTCACTGTAGCCAGCTCAGCTCCCCTCCCTCCCTGTCCTTATACCCTGGGGCAGAGAAGGCAAAGGGGAGCAAAGTAGAGGCTGTACTTTAAAAGATAAGAAAAAGTAGGTCCAGGAGACTGTGTGTGCTTCCTGGGTTTGGGTATTGCTTCCCATCTTTTATTTGTCTCCTCTCTTATGATATGGTTGATGAGCATCCCAAACTAAGCCACTGTGACACCTAGCCACATCTCCCAACCAGTTACTTCTTTCCTATCTCATCTCACCCACCTACATATACCTCACCTCTGAACCCCAGAAGAATCCCCATCACTCAGAGGAAGACAAACTACATTGCCTTCCTTAAACTTGCTCTTCTGCCCCCCCGCCACCTGCCATCCTTGCCAAGTTTCTGGGTGCTAAAAGCACTTAAGGAATGACTTTTTTCTTACTCCCTGACTTGATTTTTTTCTTACTATCTGTCCAAATCAGAAAAATACATACCCTGTAGCAGCTTCTTGCTTTTCATCTGGAAGATTAAGAGAGACCCTTAGCCAAAAAGCTCTGGAGCCAACTCCCACCCACACACTCAGCTTTTGGAAGTGAGAAAAAGCCTAGAAAGGCTAAGACATAAATAACGCCTTTCCCCACTTACTCCTAAGAAGAGTTTAGCAGTCATTCTTTTTTAAAATTTTTTTAATTTATTTTTTATTTCATATGTACAAGTGTTTTGCCTTCATGTATGTAAGTGCACCACATGTATGCAATGCCCATGAAGACCAGAAGAGGGCATGGGATCCCCTAGAATTGGAGTTAAGGACAGTTGTAGGCCACCATGTGGGTGCTATGAACTGAACCCAGGGCTTGTAAAGCACAACCCTTAACCGCTGAGCCATCTCTCCAGCCCCTCAGCTGTCAGTCTTTCTTACCAAGTGTAAAAGAGGTCCTGCATGTTGGGATTACATCCCAGATTAACTTCTGAGTTCTACTTTTCCTTTGTGCTTCTCATTTGTTGCTTCCACACTGTGACCAGCTGCTCTCAGTTTGAAGTAACATTGCTTACATGTAATCCTCTGTTGTACTGTTTTACATATATTTAGAATATCTTGGTTTTAAAAGAAGTAACTGGAACGTTACAATTTCCTGAGTAATCTCTGGGACCTTGAGAAAATTTGCATGCTTTGAAATCATGTATCTTTGTGATGTTCCATCTAGTTAGGAAGTCTAGCATCTTTAGCCTAGAATTTGTAAGTCTTTGAAAAGGTATTAAAAAGCTACTAACTCTTGCCCTGGGTGGGTGGTTGTGTGTCTTTAATCCCAGCACTTGAGAGGCAGAGACAGGTTGATCTCTGTGAGATTGAAACCAGCCCGGGCTACAGGGAAGACCCTGTCTCAAAAAAAAAAAAAAAAAAAAAAAAATGGCTACAGGCTACCAACTCTTACTATAAATCACAAATTTCTTTGATTTGGGGACCAGCTCAGAAAGCAACATCTAATACTGTTCAAGGTAAATGATATAGTTATAGCTTTTCTTCCACAAAACTCCACATTTTAATGGATTCTCTGGTTTCTTGCCTGTAGATCTGTTTCTCCTACTGTTGTTGCTATCATGGACTAGTTAACTGTTTTCTAAAATACCAACTTGATCTAAAGTTGTCATGAGATGCAAAAACCAGTTTCTTTTCCTGTGTCTGATAAACCTATGGAACTTTGGTATATCATATGTTTGCAATGGTTTATGTATTTTCATACATTTACAGTTACTCATAGACTTCTAAAGCATATTATTTGTATTCTTTTATAGGACAATGAAGGTCAGACAGCTCTTCATTATGGTAAGATGTTTCTGAGTTATTGATCTTATTTGAAAATTTTGTCTGTATAAGCTTATGTAGTGCAGTTAGTAGAAGTATAGTAACTTTTGTTGGAAATACGTTAAAATCCTTACTAACACATCATAGTAAAGTAAGCGTTTTTATACTGTCATCAGAAATAGAGACTTCTCCAACCCCCTGTTGAAAATTCAGTATTTCATTCTTGGTACTGTCAGGGACTGTAGAATCTAATATTTCTCCCATTAAAAAAATAATGTCTTGGGGCTGGGAACATGAGTTCAAATCCCAACACCTACATGAAAGCCAGACATAGTAGCATGCATCTCTAACTCTGGGTGGAGACAGGAAGATCCTTGGAGCTCACTGGCCGGCCAACCTAGGAAATATGGCAAGCTCCAGGTCCGTCAGAGACTCTATCTCAATACGGTAGAGAGGAATAGAGAAGGACACCTAACATTGACCTCTGGCCTCCACATACACACAGAGGAGCTAGCCTGCCAACACAAATGTATACAACACACACACACACACACACACACACACACACACACACAAAATGCTTTTTTGATGACTACTCCTCTAATCTGCAGTTTTACTATTTGTAGTTGTAGCTAACCCATGGTCAACTGCAGTCTTAAAATAAGAAATATTCTGAAAATTCTAGAAATAAACAGATTTTAATGGGCATCCTGTTCTGAGTAACATAATGAAATCGCATACCATCCCACTCCATTGGCCTGGGACACGAATCATCTGTTTGTCAGACCTATTCAAGCTGTGTGTACTAAGATAACCCTGCCTTAGTCACTTGGTAGTGGTCTCAGTTATCAGGCCAATTGAACACAGTGCTTGTGTTCCACTTACTCTTTAGTAACAGCCTTACACTTAGATCATGAACTACATTGTTCACCTCACTTCATCTCATCACAGGGGCATTGAATCATCTCATCATCACAAGAATTGTAAGCACAGCACAATAAAATGTTTTTAAAGTTTATTATGTTTTATTACAGTATATTGTTATATTTCATTATTTTGCTGTTAATCTCTTAATAAATTAAGCTTTATCATAAGTATGCATACAGGAAATATAGTGTGTGTGTATAAAATATATATGTGTGTATGTATGAGAATGTGTACACACACACAAACACACACACACAGGCACACACACACACATTAGGGTTTGGTCTTCAGTTTTGTGGAATTTATCCCCCAGATAAAGGGAGACTACTATAAATTCATAAAAAAAATGAAATTTGATTATTAATTCATTTCCCCTACTGATTAGCTTCATTAAGTAATCTTAAACCAACTGTAAAATAGAATAAAAATAATCCATAAGATATAAATAATAATATGACTCTTAGAGAATTATTAGATAAATTCAGTGAAATGAAAAGACATTAAACTGTTTCTAAATTATAACACAGTGGTAAATATAATTCAGAGATACTGTTTGTATATGAATATTGTTGGATAAAATATAGCCATCAGTATTGAAAACAGATTAGGATTCAGTCAGTTTAGAAAGAATTATATGCCAGGCGTTGTGGCTCACGCCTTTCATCCCCGCACTTGGGAGGCAGAGGCAGGCAGATCTCTGTGAGTTCAAGGCCAGCCTGGTCTACATAGTGAGTTCCAGGACAGCTGGGGCTACAGGGAGACCCTGTCTCAAAAAGACCAAAAAAAAAAAAAGAAAGAAAGAAAGAATTATATTAGGCTGTTTTGCCAGTCTTGGCAATCCTAGGCCAGGATTAGTAGTAAGTGTCTCAGATGCCCTTCAGCACCTTTGTCCGCTACTGAGCATTTGTTTGGTTAACATGAACCTCACTAGACTACCTAGAAGTCTGTACTGTTGTGCTAGCTGTTTTTTCGACCTGTGTAAATCAGCCTAATAATGAAAATTGAAGTGCCATCTCATTTATGAGCATATGTAACCTGGGTACTAGGTAGCACAAAGATGAAAATGTGTCAGGTGCTCACTTTTGAACACAGATGCTCAAATCCTAAGTAATTTATCAGCATATGAAACCTATCGGTGTATTTTAGAAAGAAAGGTATACTGTAACCAAATTGGGTTCATCTCAAAAGATGAAGGATGGTATATTTTTTAATTTATTAGTATGTTTTTTCTACATTTGCAAATGCATTGAAGCACTATAGGGTTAAATAAAATGTATGAAAATCTTGTGAGAAAATCAATACTCATTTTAAGAAGTTTGGGAAAGTTATTTAAGACCTTGTGATTTCATTTAAAAAATTTTTAATTTTAATTTTAATTTTAATTTAATTTAATTTAATTTTAATTTAATTTTAATTTTAAGCCTGCATGTATGTAAGTGCACCAATGTCATACAATGCCCATGGAGGTCAGAAGAGGGCATCAGAACCTCTGGAACTGGAGTTATGAACGGTTGTTTGCTGCCATGTGGGTGCTGGGAATTGAACCTGGGCTCTCTGCAAGAGCAGCCAGTGCTCTTAACTGCTGAGCTATCTCTCCACCCTCAACCTTTCGATTTTAAACCAGATTCTATTGCTGAGTTTACACAGATGGCTTAACTTCACTGTACTTTAGTTTACTCGTGATGAAGTAGGAATAACAACACAGACATCTGTTAAGGGAATATAGTGAATTGATTCGTGTAAAATACTTAGAACAATGTCTGATACCTAGTATGTACTCAATAAATGTTAGATGATTTTACTGTTTGATGGTAAAATCCTTGAATAAGCTAGAAATCTAGCATCATGGTTGTAACATTAGTAGATACAGTCCTACAACAATTCTACCACCAAAAGGAGGTCAGTAAAAGGGAGCTACATAGAAGTAATGTTTCCTTATGTCACTGGAATTAGCTAGTTTAAATATGAAGCTGATTCTAATGAAGTTTAAATCAAGATGGTAAACTGGAGTGACTATTTTTAAAAACCTGAAAAAAAAATGAAAAAATACTGCATTAACAATGTAAAATGCTATTTGCCTAAACTAAATACAGTAATAGAGTAGGAAGTAAAGACTAGAATACAAAGTAAAGCAGTAATACAGGAATAGAGGCACCAAAAAGACATATCTATAGAAAACAAAAAGTAAAGTAGCAGGGCAGAGTGACTGAGGAAGACACCTAGTGTTGACCTCTGGCCTCCACATGCACAAGTGCACACAAGTCATGTACAGACACAATCAGGTATGTTCATGCAACTTACCCACATGGACACATAGAGTCATGCACACACAAAGCCAGATTGTTGATACATGCCTGTAGTCTAACTACTAGGTAGGTTAAGGCAAGTGGATCTCAAGTTGTAGGCCAGCCTAGGCCATATAATGAAATCACCTTAAAAATGTAAAAGCAGATTTGATTTAGCATAATGGTACAAAGAAGAAAGAAAATTATTACCTCAGACTAACATGCATGTAGAAAATGCCCCATCCACACAAAGTTGGGGTTCAAGTTTATACTTTTCTATTGTTGGGAAAATTGTCAGATCAGGAAATCAATACGTGCACTAGTCTGGTTTATTCTCCTCCACCTCACTCCAAGACCTGACCGAAGTACTAAACCTCTCTCTCTCCTTCCCCCTCCCCCTGCCACATGTGTGTATGTGTGCATGTTATGTTTGTGTGCACATCATGTGTGTGCAGATGTACTTGGAGGCCAGTGGTCAACGTTGGGTGTCCTTCTCTCTCATTTTTTTGAAGTAAGTTCTTCCCCAAACCTGGAGTCGAATAATTTGGTTAGACTGGCTGGCCAGCAAGCCCCAGGGATCCTCCTGAGTCCTCCTTCCTAGCACTGGTATTACAGGCACACACTACTGTGCCCAGCTTTTTTACATGAATTTCGAGACTCTGAACTCAGGTCCTCTTATGCAGCAAACACTTTACCAACAGCTGTCTTCCTGCCCCCTGCATACTATACTTTTCTTAAGAGACATTCTCTCTCTCTCTCTCTCTCTCTCTCTCTCTCTCTCTCTCTCACACACACACACACACACACACACACACACACACACACGCACGCACGCACGCACCTTGAAATCACAGAAATCTGCCTGCTTCTGCCTCCCAGGTGCTGGGATTAAAGGCATATGCCCTGTGCCTAGCTGAGATGCGATTGTCATTTGGTAGCTGCTGGGACAGGAAGAGTCAGTTTTCTTTAAGGATGTGACCCTTGGTAGGTACACCACAATCCAGGGCAGGTTCCACACCCAGGAGGATTTGAGTAACACATATTGGACTTAGTGGGGGGAAAGGCATGTGTGTTCAACCTGGCAGCACTCTGAAGTTCCTACAGAATAAGAATAAGCTCACAATCTAAAATTTAGAACTAAAATTATGGGGCTGGAGAAATGACTCAGTGGTTAAGAGAACTTACTGCTCTTACAGAGGACCCAGGTTTGGTTCCTAGTAACCACGTGACAGCTCACAACTACCTGTAGCTCTAGTTCCAGGGGATCTGATGCCCTCCTGCAAACATACACTCAGGCACACACACATAAAATAAATTAAAAAGATTTTAAAAGGCAACTCTTTGAATATTGAGATAAAAATATGTCCTTCTAATGGAGAGTTATAGTTAAAAAATAAATTGCAGTTATATGTCAGCAAGTATAGTAAACCATAGGGTTAGATTTTTAATTTTTTTCATATTTATTTATGGGGGGTGGGGTGCACATGCCGCAGGACACATGTGGAGGACAACTTGTAGAAGTCAGATTTCTCCTTCCACCATGTGGGTCTCAGAGCTTGAACTCAGGTTGATGTGAAGGAGAGCCGAATAGAACTTAAATTTTAAAAAGCAGAAATTTTACAATGGATAGGTTAAAGTATACAATTAACACAGATAATAAAAAGAGAGTAAGAAAAGATAATGGCATGTTGAAAGCTGTTTGTATATAAATCACCAAAACAGACAGGACAGAAAGGTGGAGCTGGAAGACGCAATAGAGAAGTTAAGGTGGGATATAAGGCCAGAAATGTGGCTCCGTGGTAGAGCACC